CTCATCATTCTACTTCTTTTCAGCTACGACACCGATGCAGTTCCACCTCCACTTTGTCTCATCCTCTTCATCCAAACCAATAGATTTTTGGGGATCTTGAGACATCACTATTTGGGGTTGGGGGGGGGGGGGGTGAGATCATCAAAGAAGTATTTCCGCTTGGTTTTGCTATTGAACAACATCCAATACTGTGATAACGAAAGTGGTTCTTCTTATTTTGATGGTTCAATAGGGCAGCTAAGCTCAACTATAAATAAAACCCATGCCAGAATGTTGCAACAAATAAAGCAAGCAAAAACGATGATGATCAAAGTGGACCAAGCAAAACTTACATGGCTTCCGACTCCCACAATACTTTCGTTCGTATTCACCACTTGCACATAAGCACCACAAAATTGTTTGTTATTTCTCGGATGGTATGTCATTGATGATTGAGAGAGCTCGGATTGTGGTGAGTTGCTATTGGATGTAGTGTGACGTAGATCTTGAATTCATGAGGCACTCGTAAATTTTGTCACAATATTTTGAACCCGTTTGGCTTAGTTTCATATATAGGATCCATGCTAGTATACAACCAAGCTTGGCACAACAAATTATCTTCTTTTGTGGTGTATGCACTTCCAGTAAGAGGATTGGAGAGGGGTAATGGGTGGAATCGTTGTTGTTGTATTGCCGAGTGTCATGGGTCTATATACATAGAGTACGTGGACCTTCGTGGAGTACAAGACAAGGTAGAATAAATCCTAAACTATCCCATATTTCCTAAATATCGTGATCCTCTGACACCCCTCGCAGTCACAATGGGAGCGGCGCAGATGGAGAGACTGGAGAAAAAACCGAAGGTTGTAAGCTAACGTGTTGTTGACATCCCCCGCAGTCAGAACCGTCCATGCGCCGCGGATGTTGTGGCCGGACACTACTAGGGAAAACCCTAGTAGCAGCGCGGGGTAAAGCCCTAGCAGTAGCGCGGGGGCTCATGCTACTACTAGCACGCTACTACTAACTTTTAGTAGTAGCGTAGTGTACAAACCCGTGCTACTGCTACTTCTGGTAGTAGTAGCACGGGCCCAGACCCAACACTACTACTAACCTTGTGTAGTGGCAACGGAGGCCCCGCGCTGTTGCTAGGCCCTTACCCCGTGCCGCTACTAGGGTTTCTGTATTTTTTTCTTCTGGCTACACATACACAATATTTATACAGGTTTTAACGGTATAGACATACAATGAAACTATACGAGATAACAATCATCATAGTGCTCCAACATAAGCATAAGCAAGTTCATCCATAGTTTAATTGGTTCTCAATTGAGCGTCTTTTAATGCATTACGTATGATCAACGCCATGTGAGATAAGAGATGTGTTGTGCATTTTTTGTTAGCTGAGATTGCTTTTGTAGCTTTCTGTAAAAAAACTTTTTAAAATGTGTTGAATCGTTTGGTTCTACTCGTTGTCCTCAATTGGTGCTAATCATCATTCTCATTTTTTGATAACCGCCATTCTAACTTTCATAATTATACATGACCACCTTATATTTTGGGGCTACTTCAATCATTAGGTAGGTGGAATTCGAACGGTTCGGAAAACCAATAGTTTGAATACCCTTTTTATAGTTATACCTAAATTGGTAGCAAGCACATCAAATGGCTAGATACACAATGGTGAATCAATGTGCCATATCATGCAGATTTTTCCACATTATAACCACTAGCTACATATCATAGGTTAGTTTGGTCAAAAAGAGTCAAAACGATTGATGATAACATATTTATACTAGGCATTTAACATTAACCCCATTTTGCAGTATGAGTTAAATTTTAACAATAATACAAAGTGCTGAAGTGAACTTTACTTTAGTGGAGATTGTGTCCTCCTTTTTATTGACATATTTTTGGACTTAAATTTTATGTAAATCTAAGCAAGTAAAAATTACATGAAAAAATCACTTCAATCTATGGAATAAATTACGTGACTTAGATTCTTCAATATGTTTACAATTATTTATGTTTAAATTAGTATTAAATACATTTTCAAAAGTAGTCGGTTAACTTGTTGATTAATTGATTAACTTGCCTATTAGCCTATTAATCCCTACTCGCCGACTAACCGAGTAGCTACCAGTTAAAGATTTCCTCATAAATGCTCATAGTGTTGGGACATCTTCACCGCTATCCCTTGAACGGACGCCCTCAAATGTCCATAGGCGTGTCCGCGAATAGCTGATCGGGCTCAGGCCCTCCAGCGGTATCCCTCATTTTTTGGACCGTGAGGTGTAACTATCAGTGGGCTGGACATCAACTAAGAGGAGAAAGAGATTAGTGGAGAGACGTGGTCCGCGAGGATTATCCGGACTACCATGTTCCTTCCCTCGATTTGGGGACATAGTAGGGGGATTTTGGAAGTCCGATCCGGTCCTCGGACAATCGAGGGATAGCTTTGCAGGCCCAAAATTATCTGGACCATCCGGTCTAGACATAAATGGGAGAAATGAGTTTCCGCGTTTCCTTTTAAGTCGTGGTCTGGGTCACGGGAATGTGCGTGCGTTAAGAAGGGAGCTTGTGTTGGAGCTGTGTTGTGTGGCCTTAACCCCGGGCCAATATAGAAATGTTTGGTAGTTTATTTTTTTTTTTGCGAGGAATGGTGGTGGTTAATAGGAAGAAAGAACAAATGCCATGCTTGGCCTTGGTTGCCTGGGGCCCAACTCCGCCCCTGCCCATTCGTGATCTCCGCCACCTCTGCCGTATCACCACGATGATATAACAAAAGGAATCCATGAAGCTTGAAACGCACTGTATTTGTTTAGATTTGTTTTTGGTAGTATGTGTGTATAACATATCTGCATTATCATCAATTTCTTTTCTCTTTTGATTGGTATGGACATATGGTTACATGTGCAGACGATATCAATATTGTACATTAGAATACATACGAGATAAGTTAAATCCATGGAGGAAGGAGACAGGCCATAGACCACTTGCTACTGCAGTATTATGAACATGCATGCATCTACATAGCCTTGCATTGCATGCGTACGTTGACATGGACACCATGCACGAGACTTATCTCATGCACATGCACATGCTTCCAGTTCCATCGATCTATGCAGTGTGTATCATTCATTGTCCATTGCTTCCTAGATCTTCAAGTGCTTCAACCTAATCATCAAAATTACAAGATTAACCCCAGCTTTGAAGTCCACACATAATTTGATAAGAAACACGGTAAAGCCGGTCGTACCTGTCGGCCTCGTAGCCGGCGTTGTGGCCGGGGCCTGGGCACGGGGAACGGTAGGCGGGGAAGGCCACCTTGCCGGCCTCGATGCGGGCGATGTCGTGGACGAGCAGCTCATAGTAGCGTTTGACATCGTCGGCCGACTTGCCGCCACCAACGGCACGAGCGACGTTGTGCCAGCGGTCAGGCGTGTCCCGGTCGTGCACTGCCAGTGCCTGCTCGAACAGCTTGTTCTGCTGCGGCGTCCACCCAGCCCTCCCGGCCGCGCTCATTGACAGCGACGCCATTGCTCGATCTACCTAGCTACGATTGGGCTTATGATGTTGGTACCGTGAACTCGTTGGTTGCACAGGCTGCTTCTGAGATGGATGAGGAAGAAGGGTGTGAGAAGGGGTGCTACTTATAGCCGGCCGGACTAGACAATGGAGATGAAGGATTCAGCTCTGTGGGGCCGGAGAAGATGGAGAATAATGTGCATACGGGTGGAGGTAAAAAAAAAGGAATATTTGAAGCAGCCAGCCACCACCGGAGTGAGGAGGGGGGTCAGCTGGAGAAGGAACAAAATTTTCTGTCCCCTGGAAGTGGGGGATCTACCTTTCTATCTCTTCAGCGTAGTCCCGTCACGAATCGGCTCTGCATCCTTTCTCGACCTCCTCCTGCTCAAAGATTCAAAGTAAAAATGGAAATATATGTCCACGCAAAAAAATGTAAATATGTGTCTATATACATGCATATACGTTCTCATAGTTCATGTGAAGACAGATGCATATTCATATGCAATATGCAGAGGCTGAAAGAGGGTTGTCTTCTCTCAATACGAATCAAATCTATGGCTATGTGTGCTTTGTTTAAAGACAAGAATCAAAACTATTTGTCACACCAAATTATGCAAGTGCTACAACGTGCATGTCTTGACTTCTTATTTAGACCACAAATATCAAAAATCTAAAAAAATACTAGTATTTTGGTTCAACTAACTCCTTGCGTAAATGATGATCTTGGTTCTACCACTAACATATTTACTGTGGTTGCGTTGGGTTGTTACTCTCTTGAGTGTACCTTAAAATTTTCAGTTATTTTTAAAAGAAAATCTAAGTTCCATCCTTTGTAATATTCATAGATGATAACATCGAGTATAAAGAAAATTAGTCAGTTATTTCTTTGTCAAGGAGCTAGCTATATAGTTAAGAGCATCTAGTCACTATTTACAAAGAGCTAGTTGCAAAATTTGGATTCCATCACCAAAATTCAGGTGCGTGTTGGCCATACGAACCAGGATATATCTTGCTTTTTGGATGGAAGAATCATATCTGGAAATCAAGCTCCAACTTCTTTCTGCATGATTCTTCCTATGGCATTAAACATTGATTCCAAAAGAATCGTTTATTTTAGAGTCCAATGGAAAGAAGAAACACTTTCTGGTATGAAGTGACAAGAATTTTCCTCTGTGTGTCGCGGCTCATCGATGCTAAATTGTCCTTCTGTTTAGACGATTCAGGAAGGTTAAAGGGCAACCTTTCGTTTGATATTAAGCTCAGTATATAGATAGGGGAAGGGAAATGTTAATTTGACACCTAAGTACATGTGTATTTATTAGAACTAGGACTAAATGGGCATATATACCATTACAACAGTTACACTCTCTCCCTTAGCTTATTATGATAGTATACATTACCTTGTGATTTAAGGTTGGATGGTAAACTTCAAAACTAGTTTAGTCATGTGGTTATTTTATAACAAATTATATGCATCATCAGGAATCATACTAGCAAAAAATCCTAGAAATTAAGTCAGACAAACATGCTAAAAACACCCATGTATACGTGTTTTCAGTTAATTGTTCAAAATAGAAATATATAGATTAGTAGTTGCAGAGCTAGTTACAAAATAAATTCAGCTTCAGCCTTCACTTAAGTACTACTCCTGAATCGTCTAAACTTTGAGCCACATTTGGTATATAGTACAATGTAAATATATAATCACCAGTTGATTCAATTTATTGCAATTTGCTGCTATATTTCTCTCATATTTATATTTCTTTCTGAATAGAGTTGAATCAAACATATTTCTTGAAAAATATAGCAGCAACTCGAATTAGATTGCCAAAGATGGTTAGACGCAGGGAGCAATGTAGGGGTTCCATACCGCAACTGATGTGGGTCAAAAGCCTCAACCCCCGGAGCAAATGGACCCATGCGATCGATGAGCCTGATTCGGTTTACCTTTTTCTTTTATTTCCTTAAGAGGAGATTCTCGCGCAAGTACAGTCAAATGTGAATCTTTACAGGCAACTTGGTATTTGATCTATGCACGAGAAAAGTAAAACATCGATGTATACACGAGCACTAATAAAATTTTAATGTACGCCGAGTGCCAGAAACACTCGGCAAAGGGCCAAATAAACTGGACAAAGTCTTTGCCGAGAATTGTTCTTGGCAAGAATACCCGACATACTACCTCGGAGATGGTACAATTTACAAGCAGCGTTAGGTGAGGCTTAATCGAAACACGCCCAAACTTTTACCACGCCCTACAGGGGTCATGTGATGACACCGTGCCAGCTCTCGAGGAATTTCGACATCGCACGATTTTCCGAGAATTTAAATGGTTGGATCATTGCTCTCACACATACGAAAAAGTGAATCATAATTTAACTGAACTAATAAAAAGAGTCGGCAGCCATCATTAGATCGTCACTATGGCCCTTCTCTGCCCGGAACAGGTGAAGATTCATAGTGACAGTTCATATTCAAGACTGTAGCTTACTGCTTCTGAACTACCTGGCTATTTAAACCGGTCGTGATGCTTGTCCTTAGGGAAGGTGGGACTAAAATAATCACGCAATGAAACAACGCGTTGCTACTAGGAGCCAAGTCCCGGGCGCTCGGCAAATCCTACCCACCGTCACCGAGTCGTTAAAGACTGCCGACTTGCCATTTGCTCACAGTTTGGTTCTCGACATACAGATTGTTTGCCGAGGATCTTCCTTTTGCCGAGGATCTTTCGAGCAACGACTCGGTAAATGCCTGTGTTTGCCGTGTTTCATCTATTTCCGAGTTTAGTTCTCGGCGTACTTAGCTTTGTCCTGTGCCTGTGTTTTGGTTCTCGGCGAAGCGCCAAACACTCGGCATACAGAGAAATTCCAGTAGGGGAGTAACCATCAACGCGTTTTGTACACACACATAGTATACATGCATCTCGTGAAGTGATTTATAACTATTACACATATGTGCATCCATAGTAGGGAAGCGGATTCTCTAACATTCTCAAGGGATGTCACGAAGCTACAGTGAAATACGTGTGTAAAGCGAAGAAGGAATGGCAGGGTCACTGTAGCAACTACCGTGCGGATTTACTGTAGCATGTAAAAAATAAATTCAAAAATATTTTTATTGCATCATAATTTTGTTTGTATGTAATTTTTGTAAATGTATACAGTAGATTTGTAATTTGTAAATTAATTATAATCATTTTAGGCTTAACCATATGAATGTGAAAAAGGGATGTCACGGTTACTGTAGCTTACGTGACATCCCTTGAGAATGTTAGAGGATCCGGTTCCCCATAGTAGGGGAGTACATGTAGCTGTAGCAATAATATTAATTGATAGCCGCTAAACATTACACGCGCTTCAAGCTTTCAACAGTGATTCTACAGCTAGTCTGCAGTGCTGGTCGATGGATCTACCTGCAGCTACATATATATAGTTTACTTAGTCTTGTATAAGTAGAATTCATCAGGAAGCTTTAGAAGGTACTAGATGGATCTGCAGACAGACATAAACAGGGGGCCCGCGTCAGTGTCATTTCAGTAATCAATGTGTAAGTAGCATATGCACTCACGCATGCACGTTGACAGCCATACACATGGTAATGATACACACAGCTTAACGCTAGCTCGATCGATCAGAGGAGCCGGTGCTGTACGTTTCGAACGGCTGATATTAAAGCTTATCACTATCTGTCTGACCCATGTGTATATCATAATCAGGATTAGATCTCATGTGGCACAGTGGCATGCATGCACGCACCGGCAAGCCAAGCCGGCCGGCCACCGACGCAGCACGCACGCACGCACGCCGGCACGTCGGACCACGTGTATCCATACACGCACACTCACGTAAGCATGTCCCCGCATCATTCGTACCTCGCGTCGACGGCGTCCAGGCCAGCGGCGGAAGGGCGGAGATGGCGACCTAGCCGGCGTAGCGCCCTGACGACTCGATCTGCGCGACGTCGTGGACGAGGCGTTCGAAGTGGCGGCGCACCTCGTCGGCGGACTTGGCGCCGCCCATGTAGCGGGCCACGTCGTGCCACCGGTGCGGCGTGTCCAGGTCGTACACCGCCAGCGCGCACTCAAACTGTTTGTTCTGCCGCTGCGTCCACGCCGTCGCCGCTGAACCCTTGGAGCCGGCCGACGACGACATTGACGTATGGGTAGCTAGCTAGTAGGTCTTGATGGTTATTATGGAATGGTTTCAGTTCAGTGAACTGCTGGGTCGACCGTGTATTTATAGGACACGATCGCGCGCTTCGTGCATGCATGCGCACAACCCTCTGATGAGCAAGTTCGGTTGGAAGTGGCGACCAATCAGAAAGGTACTTATAGCCATGATATTGGCGGTATCTTCGATCGGTTTGGATTGCAGGGGTCTCGTTTGAAAGCTTGGCAAAAATGAGATATATGTTTCATGATTTTTTTTCAATTGTTTTTTAAGCTTTGAAATATGCCTTTTGAACTTTTCAAAATACCTCATGGACCCTCTCCTATCCTAATACTCTTGCTTTTCCTTTAGCAATGACCACATCCGACCATGTGCCATGTGTGATCAAGATTCAAACCACAATGCCCAAAAGTAATATTTTGCCGAAAAAGGATTTCCCCCCGCTTTGTATACAAAGCAACCAACCGAGACAGCAAACGATAGGTGCTGGGGCGAAAGCAGCACAGTCACGCCCAAAAGAAATGATAAAGAAAAAGAAAGAGAAACAAATGCCAACAACGGCTGATCGACAAAAAACGAAGCCTCATGGCCGTTGCAACCACCGAAGATCGCCCACCCAGCTCCGAGCCTCCGAAGCGCCGGTACCAAACAACACCTCCAAGAAGGGATGCGACGATGACGACGCTGCTGCCAAGGGTTTCCCCCGGTACGCGGTGAGGAGAGAGGAAGGGTAGCCCCGACGCCCTCCAGCAAGGTCCGGCGGCACCCTCATGCGCCACCGCGTCGGTGTCGATCAAGCCAACAGGGATTTCTCCCGATCCCAACCTTCACCTCAGGCACTCT